TGTTTTTAATCTTGAGTTGAATTTCCTAAAATAAATATGTTACTAAGATTAAAAGAAAAATCCAAACACTGCAATATGTTTTGGATGATATATTCTTTTCTCTGGTTGTTTATTTCATACACGCTATTTTAAATTGATTTGATCATTTCTGTCAGCATACACATCTTTTAAAGCATATCCTCCACTCCCTCCTCCCCTTTCCTCGTTCCATGCTCACTGACTCGCCGTGCTACCTTAATATGATTTCCTCATCTTTATCTAGGAATTCTGAGGGGCTTGCAGGGATCTCTTTTATCACTCATCCACTCTCAGATTCCTGCACTTGACTTTCTTTGCTATAAAAGGAGCTAACTGTGATGCCCTGCAGGAAAATATGTGGCAGAACTGCCATAATGGACATAACTGCGTTGCTCTATGTAGTAATGCTTCGTTTCATCGTGGATGTTAGCAAAGTCCTTTGACAAAAAAAGTCTTGCTCAGCAGCTAGTTTGAAGCTCGTACAAAAATTGTATATAATCTCGTAATCTTGGTGACACTCACTAATGGCTTGGTGTCTCTACTCATCCATGCACTTAACTCAGGGTAAACATGCTCAGAGCTGATTGAACTTAATCTGATCAGCTGTACTTGAACTGTAAACTCAAAGTTGTCAGTCCGAATGTTAATTAACTCTAACTTCATGAGTAGACTCAGAGTTTGCTGAACCTGCTTCCTGGAATAGGGCCCAGAGCACTGAACAAATACCATCTTTATTCACATTATAGATACAGTGTAACAATCCTGTGTTAGGCTCTGGGGCAGATATTGTTGTGCAAGAGCAAACACAGCATCTCACATTCTCTCACTAAAGTAACATAAAGACAACTGTAATGTCAATAAGCTTGAAACAAAAGAGAAAAGTGACTGGAAAGATCACCTTATAACATCCAAACTCATTTACAGAATATATCACTGAGTATTTTTTTTCCCGTGGACCAGCTTCCAGATATATCACACACACACACACATATTTCAGTATGAGTGCACAATTTCCACATATAAATGATAACAGTGTTTCAGTCCTTTACAAAAACAGAAAAACAAACTACTCACTTATAAGAACTCCAGTTTTGGGGCCTTTTGCTCATCAAAGTCATTTACAGCCTTGTGATACACTCATCCTGCGCTCTTCTAGCTTTCCTCTTTTGAGCACTACTTTTTTGCTTTGCTTACCAAACATAATTTAAAATGCCACTGTGCAACTAACTACGCTTAAACAAATTAGAATTCTCCGAAAACAAATTGCTGCATAGTTGACATTAACAGGTTTACGGCCATTTTGCACAAACGACAAGGAGCAAGGTCAGGAAGTGCAAGTAATATATTTTTCAGCATGGCCCGCCACCATCAATTTTTTTCTTTAGAAAGAGTGCCCATTTTAATAAATGGAGTATAAAATGACTGAGTAAGTATTTGCAGGGCTATAATTCAATTCAAAAGAAAAATGCATACTGCATTAAAAAGTTAGGCTTTTGTTCACAACATAGAACATGTAATGTGCCCAGTTTGCTGTAACATTGTGAATATATGCATTCAGTACAATGTAAATGTGACAGTATGCTAACTTTCAACTCTGTAAGCCTGTTATGAAATGCTTGTTTCAGGCTAAATAAGCTGTTCACGACAGAGTTAATATATCTGAGATTGTTGGCATAACCAAAATAGCCACACAAAGCCACCTGTGAACCGCATTTATAATTTATTTGGGGTTTTAGCTGTTGTGAATATGGCTGCCACAAACGATTATTTTGATAGTCGACTAGTTACCGATTATTTTTTTGCGATTAGTCGACTAATCAGATCATGCATCCATTGGACGTAAAACGTACAGCTTATTGCACCAGCATGCATCTGATCTTATAGAACTATCATTAGCTTACAGCTTTAAGTGTTTAAGGTATGTGCTAACTAAAAATAAAGACAAGATGATAGTTTATTCGATTTTAATGAAATTTGCAGATTGTTTCGGTGAAGTTTAATAAACTCCTTGCTATCTAAAATATAATGGGACACCGGAGTATATTCTCGAGCATCTCACACTTCTGATAATCATTTGTCTGCTTGATGTTTATTCAGCTGTATAAAAACTATAACTTTAATCTCAGCCAAACCGATTTACTCGGGAACAAATAAAATACTAAAAAAAAGCCAAACAATAACATTTTTAAGTTATCTAAGTGACTTATATATGTTTAACCTGAGTAGCAAAAGACAGCGGTGGGTTTGAAAACGATTTGCCGGGAGTCCGGTGTTCTCACGAGCTCTAGTGAGCCTTGCCCCCGGCTAGCTATCGAGCTAGTGGGTAAC